CAACTCGGGTTTTCTACTCGATTCGTTTTAATATATAATATTTTTTCCTTTTCATTTAATTTTTTTTAAACTTTTTTTGGTAATGCGCCCCCCCCCCCCCCCCCTTTTTTTTTTTAGATTCCGCCCCGTTGTATGTGCTCAAACGACTGGTTGTTGGGACAATAAATGTAAAATCGCCGCATCGAGCACTGCTACTCTGAATACTATTGTATTTTCATACGAAATAATATGCGTCTGGTTTCTGTTCCAATACGACCTGCTGAGGCTTTAGATGTTGATGCCCGATAGTCGACACCCTCGTCCGTCTAAGACTGCTGAGCATTCGCCATCTCGCTTAGTTTAGCCTTCTCATTGTCCGTGAGACTATTGTACCATTCGCTAAAGCCTGCAATATTGTCCCGCGCAGCAACAACGAAGAATTCTGTAAGGTACTGCTGAGTCTCGTCGTCGCGATGGCGCATATTGCTAGCTTCCAGATAACCCATGAGATCGTTCTTGGTGCTACCAAGGTTCAGATCAATGGCATCTGGATCATCTTCCCAACCATCATCATTATCCTCATTCGCGAATTCAGCAGCTGCGGCAGCTGCTGCGTTGGCTGCGGTAGTTATCCCGGAGGCCGACAGTAGTTCCTCAATTAAGACCTTCAAGATCTTGAGAGGCGCGGGAATTATGGTAAATTGATCCGGATCTGGGAAGTGGTTTAGTAGTTGCATATAGTAAAAGGTCTCATGAGAATTACTCTGCTTACTGCGCGAGCGCGTCATGATCCTGTCGCTCGTTGGCATTATCATGTCGCCCTTAACCATGGTCTGAGCGATACGAGGATCATTGAGGGAGTATAGCTTCGACAGTGCAATGACGCTAACAAAAGAGATTAGTATGATATAACAACGATCGGGAGGATGGAAACTTACTTCTGTCTTATCTCGTCATAGCCAGCGAAGTTCACCGAGTTCTCTAACCACTTGCCCAGGACGACCTGTAGGCCGCTCTGTCCATTGATCTGAATGCCGCTCAGGAAATCAACAACATCATTAGCACCAACGAGAGAGAGTCTCGCGAAGACTAGGATGAGAGACTGGATGAAAGTAGAAGCCTCAGCGGTAGCTAGCCGGTTAGCGACAGCCTGCAAAAGCTGCGGCAGGAATGGACCAAGGCGCTCGTGTCCTGCTTTCTCCACAAGTTCGGCAGCAAGCCCGCCGACCTCGGAAGCAGCGTTGTCCTCAATCTCGGTCCCAAGTAACCGATCAATGATGTGGAGGCAAATCTCTAAGCCAGACCGGTTGCTCTCGTCGCGGTAGTTGAACATTTGTTCGTGGTCGTGGGCTAAGAGATACTTGACAGACTCGGCACCTGGTCTTAAGATCTCACCTTCGTTGCTCTCCATGAGCAGGCGGTTCAGCTTAGGCAACACGGCTGCCACGAGACCAGGGGGCAAGGGCTCTGAGCCGAATTGGGTGAGCGAAGCCATTAACTCGGTGGCGAACTGTATTATCAAGTCAGTCATTTCCCCAAGAACAAGCACATCGATTATTATCCCCTAAATGCCAGTGTACTTGATATTCGAAAATCGAACCGGGTATGATGAAGTGAAAGACTTACAGTGACGAGAGGGTCATCCGAGGTCACGTCAGCAACGTTGAACGCGCCAGTTAATGTAGGCAACACCTTTTGGC